TGAGATTGACAAATTTACATTTGAGTTTGTTGAAAATGTCTGGAAACGAAGTCAGTGATCCTCGTATCTATGGCATCAAAGCTAAGATCCGTGTCGTTCCAGATTTTCCCAAGAAAGGTAGCTTTTTTCTTCTTTTTCTTTGTTTCTTTAACTTAAAACCAAAAAAATTCTCTCTATCTAATTTTCAAAAAAAAAAAAAAAGTAATCTCTCTATCTTCTATCAAAATTTCTGTTTTAAGTGAATGTTAGTTTAACTTTCGTCGGTAAATACCAAATATATATGTTTTACCTTAACCATTAGAAGATTTTTCAAGGTCTTTTTTCGCTTGGTGAGAAAGTTGTAATATTGTTATCACTTATATATACTCACTATTTACCAGTCATTAGTTTGTAATATTGTGGTTACTAAACATTTACACGACTTTAATTTTTAATGAACTTATGGACAAAAAATGCAAACTAATACTGTTTCCTTCCAACGATTAAATATGTGTTCATATAGATAATGTGAAAATTGCAGGAATAATGTTCCAAGATATAACAACACTGCTGCTAGATCCTAAAACCTTTAAAGACACTATTGATCTCTTTGTTGAGAGATATCGAGACATGAACATCTCGGTGGTTGCAGGTATTTTCTATAGAGAAATTATTTATATATATAGTTTTCTTTAAATAAAAACTAAAAAGCAAAACAAAAGTAATTCATTCTTTACTTACCTTATTTTATCTTTAATTTATAGACCTCGTGTGGACAAAAATATACTTTATTATGTTGATGCATTTAGTTAACGATGCGATCCAAATTGGGTGATGTTATATTGTTTGTCATAACTATTATTTTTTCTATGTTCGAGTTAAACTTTATGTTATAGTCAGTTGGAAACAAAATGAAATTCTTCAACCTGATTCTTATATTTTCATAAACTGAAAAAACTGAAAGATAAACCGAATAGAAAACCCAAATTAGTCATTCTTAAAGTGTAACTTACAGACTCACTGTGTAAATGGTGGAATCTTATGTTGGATAAATGGGTGGTTGAGTTATGGATGCCACCTTTTTAAAAGGGTTGGACCCTAAATAAAGCTTAGATTATATTTTCTTCTCTCATTATTGTTATTCAACGGCTCTCTTTTCTTTCTATCTATGTTGGGTGATGTTACAGTAACATTTCCTATTATTTCGTTTGTTTTATTTTTCAACAATACAGTTCAACGACTTTTTCATGTTTTGGTTGATTGGTTATAAGCGTTTTAGTGACTAGTGCGTCAAGAATCTTTAGGGCAATGGCTAAATTTGAAAGCGATTTTTTAGTTTTCCCTTTTGTTGTGAGATTTTAACCACGCCATACTTATATTACAGTTTAAATAATTGTTAAAAAAAACAGACAATGAAATTTTATTTGTTGGGATATATAGATTCTCGGACCACTTAGTGTGGTTTCGCTTATGATGTTCAATGTAAGTGAAGGAGATTGTGATCAGGGGCAGCTCTTGATATGTGCAGGAGCAGCAAATGTCAGGGCCCAAATTTTTTGAAAAATTTTTAAGCTAATTTTTTAAGGGCCAATTTTTCTAAAAATATGGATAAAGTTATTAATTTAGGGCCATATTTTTTAAAACTTATGAATAAAGGGTCAAATTTTTTTTTGAGATTTGCACAGGACCATTAAATTTATTAAGTATTATTGAACCCTCTGATTGTGATGATGTAAGTTTAAATGTGGAAAACGTACTATATATGTATAACAAGTATATTGTTTTCTTGTGTACGAATAATATTAGGTAAAATGGATATTGTAACCTATAAACCACTAAGATTGTTTCCATTGTAACTTCAATTCATACACACACAAAAAGAAAGTGGTTGAAAGTAAGATATTAAGAAGCTTCTCTGTTATGTATGAATGTAATAAGTTCACATCCATGTAAATTTGGTCCATTGTATGCTCTTATGTTGTTGGCTTGTGCGCTCCAGAATTTGTCTCTTACGTTTGTTCAAGGGATAAAAGAGTCGATTCTATGGACAGTTTTTGTTTTTTTGCTTTTGTTAAAGTCAATACTTTGGACTTTGCCTCTCTTTATAAGAATGTTTTCAAGGAATCTTCTTTAACATTTTCGTCGTAGAATTAGGGTTTTTAACGTGTGGCTCGCATGCATGTAGTGTCCTATTCATATTGATCCAAATGCTATAATATATATACAAATGACATTTAAATTTTTTAAACCCTCATATATAA